GTGTGAGGACAAGTGATAGTCAAGATGGGATTTTTTGACTTGGTATAGATTGATATCAAGTTCCTAGACAAATGTCAAGATACATTGGAAAAGGGAAATCTCCGGCCGGGGTATATAAAATGTTACATGAAAGGTTGTATCATGGTGACCGTTCCATATGTATTGAATTAAAATTAAGATAAGGATTTTGACATACCATGAATCCATTCTTAATTGGGATTAGACAATGAAAGGATTTGATTATACAACGTGTATGCTTGTAAAAGGTTTGTTGGAGTATATCTTCATTGAGACTTAGGGGTTATGAAGCATTGCCAGATGCCAATCATAATTAGTGGGAGTTTTGTTCATAAAGAGTTATGACAAAACATATTAAAATAGACTGTGATATTGGGCCCACGGCTAGGCCACAGTGAACCTAAGAGGTCACACATAAAAACTAAGGAGAATGGAGAAATAGCCAAAGAGAGTTGATTATCCAAGGTTGGCTAGCACTTACCAAGGGTAATAAAGTTATTTATATTAATCATTTAAAGAAAATTAACAACTTCATAACAATTATGGAATTGTTTAAGGAAGTCCAAAACAATTATTGAATTGTTTACAAGGATTCCTATATAAAGAAAACGATATATCAATTTTTGTGTAGAGANACCCAAGAACGTAGGATGGTGACCCATCTACTAAAGTCACATTTGAAATGGTTTTTGATTGATATGTAGCAAAGAGACTGGGATTACCTAACATGTGATCTGTTGCACCAAAGTCAATGACAAATTTGGAGGATGAGGAAATGAGACATGTATTTGGCTTACCTGAGTTAGCCATAGCCGTGACAAGAGTAGATGAAGTTTTTAATGATTCCTGGTACAATGAAAACTAGGCAAATTCATCTGCAGAATTGAGAACTGACTAATCAGAAGTATCGTTGGTGGATGCAACATGGGCAGAGGGATTTCTTTTAGTTCTATTCTAAAGTTTTCTACAATCATGCTTCATGTGTCCTGACTTATGGCAATAGTGACACACAATTTGATAAAGTGGGCTTGGGTAGAACTCACTCCCAAAAGCTAGCTCAAGGGAGGAAGGAGCCTAATCACTTATATACACCATAACAGCCCACTATTAGGGCGAAGTGGGACAAATTCAACTTCTAACAGCCTCTCTCACGCTCAGCGTGCAAGGCCGAGGTCCAAACCCATCATCGCCCTAACCAAAGAGGGGAGAGAAACAAACGTGGCTCTAATACCATGATAAAGTGGCATTGGGTAGAACTCACTCCCAAAAGCTAGCTCAAGGGAGGAGGGAGCCCAATCACTTATATACACCATAATAACCCACTATTGGAGTGATGTGGGACAAATTCAACTTCTAGCCCTCCTTTGTTGCCACTTCCAAATTGTGATTGCCCAGATTCATAGTCATTCCTTTGACTGACGAGAGCACCACTAAACTGAATCGGTGGGGTAACTTCTGAGCGAAGTACCCTACTAAAGACATCTTGCAACGAAGAGATCTTTGGACTGGCTAGAACCTAAGACTTAGCAGTCTCAAATTCAGAAGGAAGACCTACAAGAAAACTCATGACTGCCATTTGCTTCCATTGTTTTTATTGAACCTTTACATCAGCACTGAAGGGTAACAACATGTTCAACACTTCATAAGTCTTCTTAAACTCCATAAAATAAGCTGTAAGGGACTTATCTTGTTTCTCTGCATGATAGACTACCTTACACACTTCATGAATATGAGAAACATTCCATTTTCCAAAATACAGAAACTCCAAATAATCCATCAGTTCTTTAATAAACTCACAATGATTAATTAGGCCAAGTACCTCACCGTCAATAGAGTTTCGTATTTGTAGAATCAGTAGAGCATCATCTCGGAGCCATGTCTTTTTCGAATCATCCTTAGGTGGATCATCAGTCATATGATCATCTTTATAAATACTCTGCAAATACAGTCTAACAATTTTATGCTAACCATGGTAATTAGTTATACCAATGAGCTTATGTTTTGTAGTTTTCGACATCGTCGGTATCGTTTCTACCACTGGCTTTGTATTAGACATGTCTTTAACAAACAATAATCCCAATGCACACCAACAAACGGTTAAAACAAAGCAAATTAACCAAATTTCAGTGACACACCAAATTAATCAATAGCCACAACCAACCAAAGACCAAAGCACAGTAAAAGTCCAATAAACAAATGAAGAACAGCAGTAACCAATAAGATATTACCAAAGCCCAGCACGAAAATGTGTTGTACAAGTGCCGACGAAGCAGATGAAGAGAACATGAGGAGACATCAATGGTGGACGCGCGCTCATGCACCGACGCGTGGTACTGGTGACCGGAGCTTTGGGTGGCACGTCAATGGAAGGTTATATTAGTTATTATGAATAATTTAAGAGTTAAATTGGTAATTGGAATTCCAATTCATAATTAATCATTTTCTTTATATTAAATTGGATTTAATGATGGGTTTTAATTGTAAACATATGAACAATTTAAGGGTTAAATTGTTATGTAAACAATTTAAGAGTTAAATTGTTAATTGTGATTAAATGTTAATCCAATGTATTTATTTAAAGAAGTTTAACAACTTCATAATAATTATGGAATTATTTACAACTCCAAAAACAATTATGGAATTGTTTAAGGAAGTCCAAAACAATTATTGAATTGTTTACAGGGCTACATAGATAAAGAAAATGATATATCAATTTTAGGGTAGAGATTAAATTTTATAAGAACCCTAAATGTGTCTCTTGGCCTAATTCTTCTTTTATCTTAGTTTGGATACTCTTTTGTTTAATTTCTCTTAAAATTAAAAGTCTCCAAAGTTGCTAAGGACTTGAGTAAACAATCATACCTTACTTGTTTTCATTTTTTTTTTTTTTTTTTTTTTTTTGTTGCAAAATAGAATATACATGTTATGGTATCACATGCATCATCTCCATGTATTCCATCTTACAAATGGTATGAGCCAAGATTGATCCTTATTTGTCTAAAATTGGCCAAAAAGTCTGTTCTATGTTTATAATGTTGTGTAATTTTTCAAATTTTTATTGTGAAGTTACATGTTAACTTGCTTTATAAGAGTTGTAGATCCATGCATGTGTATCCTTTATATCCATAAAAAATGCTTTTGATCATGTTAGTTGACTAGCAAAATTCGGCCATGGCTTAATCTTTTTGAAAATTTTAATTTCAAATAATTTTCTTATGTTTTGTTTGAAGAACATGATGGTTATGGCACAAACATCGATTAATTAAAATTTTAGTGTTGATTGAAGTTGGCCAAATGAGTTTTGGTTAAAATGTTCTTGTTCAATATTTATGGCTTGAAGATATGATTTTTATGATTAGGACTGTATGGATGCTAATATGTCAAATTTGATGAAAATTGATGTTGTTCCATATTTTAATTATGTGAATTTTGGCCATGACAAGTTTAAATTAATTGTTGATTAATTAGCATACTTATAGACAATTCAAATTATGTTTAATAGTGATTAAATGTTCATGGATGCATGAGATGAATTTTTTCATGTGAGATAGTTGCATATTTTTAATTAGGTGCAAAAAGGGGTTGTTGTTATGTTACATTATGTTTGTTAAATATGTATTTAATGGACATTAAGGTATTAAGATAATTTGCCTTAAAGAGTTAAGGGTAAAATTGTCTTTATGCAAAAAACATGGAAAAGTGTGTGAACATAATTTAATTGTTAATTATGTGTTTGATAAGATTAATTGGATTAATGTATATATATGCCATGTGTCTTATAAGATAAGCATAAATTTCTTCACCAATTTTTAATGGCCAAATGTTGTTGAATAATTGCTTATTTAATGTAAATGTTACATTACCCTAAAGTTTAATAAATTGTTTTTAATTAATGTTTATTGAGGCAATTTATTGAATATAATTGATATTGGAGATATATGTGTTATATTAACATAATGCATTTTTTATGTTTGATAACTGTGATGCCTATTGAAGCATGTAATATGCTTGTATGTTTTATGCTATTACTTAGGCCATTGTTTATAGTTAAGTTTTAATATTTATATGAAGTGTTGAAACTTAATTTTATGGCATGACATTTAATTTTAGGTTTGTAGTTTGGGGTTTATGTTTTATATTTAGTTGATACATATGGTGGATATGTATAGGGTAGATATTAAAACATTAACCTAGAACAAAACCTAATCTTTAAATCTTCCCTAATTAAAATATTAAGTCTAAGCCTTCCATTATGTGTCAATTAATTCTTTGCCATAGAATTAGAGATCCCAAGATTTCAATTATATGAGGGATGCTAATTTATGACATAGAATTGATTGTCTTAGTTCTTGGATAGAAATTCACATTGTACCCTAGATTTCTATTATGTGAGGGTATAATAGGAATTCTATTTTAAGAAAGCATAATGGGTCGGATTTAACTAGTGTAGGGTACCAAGATTTATATTATGTGAGGTATCTGAAACTAGAGGCAAGGAAATGAATCATAGCTTATATGGTGATATAAAAGGAAATAGTTTCGTACTTATTGAATTTAATGGACCAGGATTTCTATTATGTGAGGTTTATTAAATTTGATTCCCCACTAGAAATTTTTAATCCAGCAAAATTTCCGAATCTTTATCCAGGGAAGTATAGGATTTGAATAAAATAGTGGGAGCTAATTACATTAGCTTAATAAAAGATATATGAAACAAAACACTCATAACTTTTAATTTTCTTGCAGCATCTCTCATAAAATATAAAACCATGAAAGATGAATAATCTGCTGTTGAAAATCCTGGATGATAATATCAAGTTAGTTGGCCATAGTAATTTCAATGATTGGCTGAGGAAACTGATAATAATATTGAATTCAGAAAACGTAGCCTATGTGTTAGAAACGCCCCTGCCTGAACCTCCTCCTTCTGATGAGCATAACAAATATAAAAGAGTGACGAGCTCCAGAGAAAGTGTGAAAAGATGAAAAGTGCTAATGAAATTTACCTCGCGTTACAAGAGTTGTGCTGTGAAAATTCGAGGATAAGGCAATATGAATTAAGTTCAACTTTATTCGGAATGAAGTTGAAAGAGGGTGTGTTACTAGAAGAACATGTCATGAAAATGATTAACATTATGGGGCAATTACATGCCATGAAAATTGAAATGCCGGACACCCTCAAGGTGGATTTAGTTCTCCAATCTCTACCTTCAAGTTTCACACCTTTCATCAATAATTATCATCTCAATAGGTTTGAGAGAAAACTTCTTGATTTGTTGAATGAGATTCAACAGTTTTATGATCAGGAAAGAAAAGGCAAAAGGCAGGAGGTTGTAAGTATGGCTTCTTCCAGTAAGACAAAAAAGAAAAAGCCAATGAAATCCCAAAAGAAATTGGAAACAAAACCCAGGGGAAAGGGGTTTAAGAAAAAGGCTACACCTCAAGCCAAAAAATCTAAAGAAAATGGCCAATGCTTTTGGTGCAAAGAAAGTGGGCACTAGAAGAGGAATTGTCCTCTCTATCTAGAAAGTCTTAAGAATGCTAAAGCTCTTCTTATTGAGAAGACTGGATCAGGTATGTCCTAATGCTATGTCATTGAATTTGAATTAAATGTTAGTTCAAATAATTCAACCTGGATATTAGATTCAGCTGCTACTTCACACATTTGTGTTTGTTGGTAGGATCTGCAGAATATTTCTACTCTGGCAAAAGATCAAGTCATGTTAAGAATGGCGAATGGAACAAATGTTGTTGCCGAAGCCATGGGAACATACAGTTTGATGCTTCCATCAAGACACCTTTTGTATTTGTACGATGTCCTGAATTTTGCTAAAGCCACTAGAAATATAATTTCTGTTTCTGTATTATGTAAATATGGTTACAGTATACAGTTCAATAGAAATGAATGTTTTGTTTAGTTTGGAAATAAACTTGTTGGCAAAGCTATCAATACAAATGGTTTGTATGTGCTAGAATTAAATGGCCATAGCATAATGAATTCCATAACTAATAAACGAACTTGAAATGAAGTTAATCCCAAATTACTTTGGCATCATTGATTAGGTCATATAGGAGACAGAAGAATAATCCAATTAAGAGAAAGTGAACTTTTAAGTTCATTGGGTTCAGAACCCTATCCGACCTGTGGATCTTGTCTTCAAGGAAAAATGACCAAGTCACCCTTTAAGAGTAAAGGGGAAAGGGCTAAAGAATTGTTGAAATTAATACATACAGATGTATGTGGACCATTTAATGAAATGGCCAGAGAAGGTTTTCAGTACTTCATTACCTTTAATGATGATTATTCAAGTATGGGTATTTGTATTTAATGAAATACAAATCAGAATCTTTTGAAAAGTTCAAAGAATTCAAGAATGAAGTAGAGAAACAAACTAGAAAGAGTATTAAAATTCTACGATTAGATTGTGGAGGAGAATACTTAAGTATGAAATTTCGAGATTTTCTAAAGGAAAACGGGATTATATCACAATTAACTCTTCCATTTACACCACAACACAATAGTGTATCTGAAAGGAGAAATCGTACTTTATTGGATATGGTACGATCAATGATGACTTTTATGGACTTGTCGATTTACTTGTAGAGGTATGCCCTACAAACAGCAGTGCATATTTTAAATAGAGCACCATCTAAATCAGTCCAAAAGACACCATATGAAGTGTGGTATGGCAAACCACCTAGTCTTAACTATTTAAAGGTTTGAGGTTGTCCAGCTTATGTCAAGACTGTTAAAATAGACAAGTTGGACATAAGATCTGAAAAATGTCGATTTATAGGGTATCCTAAAGAAAGTTTAGGATATTATTTTTACTTCCCTACTAATCAAAGAATTTCAATCAATAGAAACGCACATTTCCTTGAGAAAGAATTCTTAGAAGAAGGAGGTGCAGGAAGAAAAATTGAACTCAAAGAATATTCTGAAGAATCTCAAATCGATAATACTCAGATAGGTGAACCAGATCAAGAACCTTCAACGCATGACACAATAGTTCCAGCCCGTAAATCTTCTAGAATATCTTAACCTCCAGAGAGATATTATGGCTTTTTACATGAAAAAGTTTTTGAATCTTTTTCAATGGGAGAAGTTGATCATGGAGATGATCCTAAAACTTATGAAGAAGCGATATTAGATATCGATTCTCGAAGATGGCTAGAAGCGATGAATTCTGAAATAGAATCCATGCACGCTAATCAAGTTTGGACACTTGTTGATCCTCTAGAAGGAATAATTCCTATTGGTTGTAAATGGGTCTTCAAAAGAAAGGTTGGCGCATATGGAAAGGTAGAGACCTATAAGGCTAGACTGGCAGCGAAAGATTATACTTAGAAACAAGGGTTGGATTATGAGGAAACTTTTTCACCACTTGCAATGCTTAAATCCATCAAAATCATGCTAGCCATAGCAGCACACTATGATTATGAAATTTGCCAGATGGATGTCAAGACCGTGTTCCTCAATGGATTTATTGAGGAAAACATATATATGCAACAACCTAAAGGTTTTGTATCCAATACTGAGAGACATAAAGTGTGCAAATTACATAGATCCATTTATGGATTGAAGCAAGCTTCTAGAAGCTGGAATATCCGATTTGATGAAACGATCAAAACTTTTTGTTTCATAAAGAATCCGAATGAACCGTGTGTATACAAGTGGGTAAAAGATCATGTCACGATTTTCCTCATATTATATGTAGATGACATATTATTAATGCGAAATGATATTGGTATGATGATTGAAGTTAAGATGTAGTTGTCAAAAGCTTTCTCAATGAAAGATTTGGGAGAAGCAAATTACATCCTAGGAATTCGCATCTATAAAAATAGAGTGAAAGGATTGATAGGGTTATCTCAAAGCATGTATATAGAGAAAATGTTGAAAAAGTTCAACATGCAAGACTCCAAAAGAGGTTTTTTGCCTTGCGGTCATGGACTACATCTTTCTAAAGATATGAGTCCTAAGACTGATCAGGAGCGACAGCAGATGCATAATATACCCTACGCTTCAGCCGTAGGTAGTCTTATGTATGCAATGCTATGTACAAGGCCTGATATAGCTTATGCTATAAGTATTGCGAGTAGATATCAATCAAATTCAGGAGAGAAACATTGGTCAGTAATTAAAACAATCTTTAAGTACTTGAGAAGGATTAAAGATTTAATATTGAGTTATGGAGGTTCAGAATTGAAAATCCAGGGATATTCAGATTCTGATTTTCAATCAGATGTGGATGATAGAAAATCTACATTCGGATTCAGCTTTACATGTAATAGAGGAGCAGTTAGTTGGAAAAGTTCAGAACAGTTGACCACTGCCGACTCCACTACAGAAGCTGATATATTGCTGCTTCGGAAGTAGCAAAAGAAGGTGTGTGGATACAAAAATTTGTAGCTAAACTTGATGTGGTTCCGAACATGAGTTATCTGATAACCTTATTCTGCGACAATAATGGTGCTATTGCATAGGCAAAAGAACCAAGAGTACACCAAAAATCTAAACATATTCAGTGTAAATATCATATTTTGAGAGAGCTTGTTTAAGCTGGAGAAATTTTGGTGCAGAAAACACCTTCAGTGGATAACGTAGCTGACCCACTTACTAAAGCGATGACACAGAAGCAATTAGATCATCATCTTGAGAAGATGGGTATTAGATACCACAACGATTGGCTCTAGTGCAAGTGGGAGATTTGTTAGTGTATGCCCTAGGAACCAATCGTATCGTCGGTTCCAAGGCATTATGTCTTGTATATATATGTTAATGTATGTATTTTGTATATACATTTTATCTTATCAATAGAAGAAAGTGTTCTTATTTCACATGTGGTTTATTGCTTCATTTATATATATGTATTACATGTGAAATGTCCGGATGATACAAATCTTTAGAAGATCAAAATCATCAAAGTATTCCCTACATAGGTAATATTAATTGGGCAATAATATTACATAGTAGGCATGCTGAATGCCTCCGTAGAATATCATGTGATGGTATTGGTGTGGGTGATTATAAAAGTTATATCACTAGGGCATTAGCATGGATACGCGGTTAGTGAACTGTTTATCGAATATGGCCATTTATGATGAATCACATGGACATTTAAAATGTAGTCAATGATTTATCATAAGATCGTACTAGGGTATTATTAATCCTTAGACCTGAGATATCACGGTTGGATTCTGCATAAACGCATATGGTTCATATGGTGTATAAACATGAGGCTAATCATGCCATGTGTTAATAAGCCGATTTGGCCATGTGTTGTTTATGTGTGAGGACAAGTGATAGTCAAGATGGGATCCGTTGACTTGGTATAGATTGATATCAAGTTCCTAGACAAATGTCAAGATACATTGGAAAAGGGAAATCTCCGGCCGGGGTATATAAAATGTTACATGAAAGGTTGTTTCATGGTGACACGTTCCATATGTATTGAATTAAAATTAAGATAAGGATTTTGACATACCATGAATCCATTCTTAATTGGGATTAGACAACGGAAGGATTTGATTATACAACATGTATGATTGTAAAAGGTTCGTTGGAGTATATCTTCATTGTGACTTAGGGGTTATGGAGCATTGCTAGATGCCTACCATAATCAGTGGGAGTTTTGTTCATAAAGAGTTATGACAAAACATATCGAAATAGTTTGTGATATTGGGCCCACGGCTAGGCCACAGTGAACCTAAGAGGTCACACATAAAAACTAAGGAGAATGAAGAAATAGCCAAAGAGAGTTGATTATCCAAGGTTGGCTAGCACCTACCAAAGGTAATAAAGTTATTTATATTAATCATTTTCTTTATATTAAATTGGATTTTACAAGGGGTTGTAATTGTAAACAATTTAAGGGTTAAATTGTTATGTAAACAATTTAAGAGTTAAATTGTTAATTGTGATTAAATGTTAATCCAATGTTATTATTTAAAGAAGTTTAACAACTTCATAATAATTATGGAATTATTTACAACTCCAAAAACAATTATGGAATTGTTTAAGGAAGTCCAAAACAATTATTGAATTGATTACAAGACTACATATATAAAGAAAATGATATATCAATTTTAGGGTAGGGATCGAAATTTCTAAGAACCCTAAATGTCTCTCCTGGCCTAATTCTTCTTTTACCTTAGTGTGGGTACTCTTTTGTTTAATTTCTCTTGAAATTAAAAGTCTCCAAAGTTGCTAAGGACTTGAGGTAACAAGTTATACCTTACTGTTTTCAATTTGGTTGAATTTTTTTTTTTTTTTTGGCAAAATATGAATATACATGTTATAGTATCACATGCATCATTCTCCATGTATTCTATCTTACATGGCTTAGATCTCGTCTCCTCATCCAATGGCTCAAAATCAAGTGGGTTATTTGGGCTTAATAACAGTTTGGGCTTAAATTTATTGCTAGCCCAAATTCCGGAAATGGCTCCAATTTTGCAGCGGGCCCAAATTCGAGAAATGGCCCAACTCACTCCACCA